GACCCATAAGTCAATCCCATTAAATCTCCTAGATTAGTTTGGACCGAGTCAAAAGGGTATCGATATTAAGTTTGGTCCAAGAGTTAAAGGTTAATGATGGTTTTAAGTTAGATTAAAAGGATAGGGACCAAAAGTGTAGTTTAATCATAGCATGTTTTAAAGGATAAAAACCCCTTATTATAGAAAGATTTCACGTGAACCTAAGCTTCCCAAATACTCTTCCATTTATTCTTCTCTTCTCTCTTCCTTTTTCTCTCCGAGAGCATTAAAAAATGAGCAAGCTTTTGGCATCTTTAGTTTAAATCAACCAAGATAAGAGCCTTGATCTCCATCCCTCAACTTTTATTTCAAGCCCTAAATCTTAAGTTTTAAACATGATTTCAAAATGAGTTTTAATGAGGTTTTAGGGATTCAAGGAATCCAAGCTTGTTTTTAGTAAATTTAGGTCGTTAAAGTGTTCTTAACTCAATTTCAAGCTCTAGACAAGTTAGAAACTCCTAGTTTTGGCCTTTGATTAGCTAAGGAGGTTGGAGAAAGTTCAAAAGCAAGGGATAAAGAAAAAAAATGCCTCCAAGTTGAATTTGGGAAAGGCTTTAGTAGCAAAGGGAAATCAGGTAACACACTCACAGCTTCCTCATACCAATTGTGGATCATTATAAATGAGTTATAGCTAGAAAGTTGAGTTTGAAGCATGCTAAGTAAGTTGTCATGGTAGATTCTTATTAAAGTTATTTTTAGCATGTTTAAAGCCTTATTTATGAACATTATGATTCACATAAGACTTAATAACAATCGGGAACCTCAAGGTAAAAAAAAATTAAGGAGTTTAAGGAACTAATTCGTGCATAAATAGGGTATGTTTAAGGGTGAGTATCGATACTGTAAGAAAAAATATTGATATTGTTCATGTTTCAGTCATAAAATCAAGAGTTGTTAAAGAAAGTATCGATACCCCTTAAAGAAGTATTGATACTGAGGGTTTGATATCGAGATTGATGACCTTAGTATCTAGATCGGGATTCCAGAATGTCATTTTGGTATCGGTACTCTAGGGAGTATCGATACCCAAGGTCCAGTATTGATACTCTTATATAAGTATCAATACTCCCCCCTTTTCTTTCAAGGCAAATCAACATTGTGGTATCGATACCTTAGGTTACTTAAGAGAGGGTATTGATACTGTAAGGCTAGTATCGATACCAACGTTATGTTTTGGGCTTCAAATCGAGATGAATTATAGAAGCAACCGAGGTTTCCCAAAAGCTTTTAATTTCTTCCAAATAAGACTACAAGTGAAAACAATAATAATGCTTATTTCAAACGAAGAAACGAGCTAAAGTAGGGTGAAATAAGACTAGCCTTGTTTGAATGCTCAGGAAATGATCAGGACACCCGAGTTCCTTTAGAAAAGCTAACATTGTCGGAAGTATAGAATCAATCCGGATGTCATTAGGGAGTGCACAATGCACTTTAAGTTGAATAACTAGGGTCAATACCCAACACTCACAAGGGGTGGGTTAGTCAAGGGTATTGACCGATGCAGAGATTCCAAGCAATCATCCTCGATAAACTAGAGGGGTGTGTGGAGCTCTGAGATGCAGAGCAGAACCCTCAGTTGTACCATGATGTCTGTACCATGATGTTTACCATAGATTAGAGTGTGAGTATACAAGTATACTCACTAATGCAGTAAACTTGATAGCTTGAGTCTTTCAATGATACATTTTTAGTATGTTATAGTTGTTAGTGTGGCATTAAGCTAGTTAGCTCAACGTTTGGAATTTGTTTTCTTACGCAAATTAGGTGGAGCTTTCGAGGAAGCCTTAGAGAAAATGATGTCATGGCCAAGTGCATATCAGAGTACGTCTTAAGTTTGAAGGGCATGTATATTTATAAACCCTATTGTAAAGTTGAATTGTAAAGTTATTTAAAGTTGGTCTATATTATTTTGTATACAAATATTTATTTTGGGAGCTCTCATGATGTAAAGTTTTCAATTATATTTATGGTTGATTTTATTTCGAAAAAGGTTAGTAAAATGGTCATTTTAAAGTAAGAGAAATGAGAAAAATTTTGGTCAGCCATTTCGGTGGTTCCATGTAGCATCCTAGTCGGTCGAATGTGTGTCGTATTGGTTTAGGGTGTTACATTTAATAGTATCAAAGCAAAGTTTAGGCATTCCTTAACCCGAGGTCCATGTCCCTAAAGAGTTATGTCGTACTTCTGCATCTGAAATAGTAGTAGTAATTCCTCGTTTTTGTCTTAATCTCATATTCTAGATATGGATGAGAGCCCATAACACATTAGAGAGGGTAGACAGTTTACAAATAAATTTGTTTTTTTAATTCAAAGGTAAAGGGATCAAATTCTTAAAAAAAAAAGTAAATTGACTAAATTATAAATATATGAAGAATACACTGAGTTAAAGCATATTTTTACCATTTCAGGTTAGATCTGGTGTGGGTATATATATATTCACAGGTTGGTCGATGATATATTCAATGCCGAGGAATCATATTAATAAATAAATATGTTCCTAAAGTAATAATAATAATAAATAAGATGTCCCACAATAAATCAATTATACGTATAGTTAAGCCATTTTTTTATTAAGTTAAAAGTGATTATAAAATATTATATGTTTTAAATACTTTTAATCATTTAACAATGAACGTTAAATCAATCATGTTACAATCGTTGGTGCTCGTACTGGAGACTTTAAGAATAGCAATCATTCATTTAACTACGGAAATAATTTGATTTGTGCTTTTTTTTCCAATTAAACTATTTAAAATAAAAATATTTTCAATTAAATGAATATAATCTCAACCATATGGTGTCTATTAATTTAATTTTATTATCAAACTTTCTAGTTCATGTCATAAAAGTGTAAAATCAAATTAAAAAATAATTATTTTACATGATAATTGTAATTATAACGATATTTTATATTTTATAATTTCAAATAAAATATGTAAAGATCAAATAGGAAATTACTATATTTATCAATTCCCTTATAATCTTTTATTAATTAATTTTGTATAATTATATTTTTAATTAATAATATTTTATTTCCTCTTATAATAAATAGGAAAAATATTCATAAATGGTGTACATGTTTATGTTTCTTCTATTTTAATTACTTTTTTTTTTCTTGAATGACCTCAGTGATTGAAAGTAGTGTTGTTCTCTCTTGAGGTCTTGGGTTCAAGCAGAATGTGTTGTCAGTGGTTAAAAAAATTATGTCAAAAAACTATTTTTCTCTCTTAAGATAAATATATGTTTTGAATCTCAACATTATAAATAGAGTAAGTTAAATTAGGAAGATCAATTCGAATTAAGTTACTTATGTATTAGATACCACACTTGACGACATTGTAAATCCACTTGTAAAATTTTCAAAGTCTATTAAATGTCTCTATATTTTAGTAAAAGGAAAACAAGTCTCTATATTATATCTCAATGTATAATTATAGAGACTTCTAATAGACATATATATATAATATAGAGTCTATATTAGATAAACCTAAAATAATTGCACGAACAAAATAATTATAGTTTATGTAAATTTATAATATTTCTTTGATATTAGCGAATAAAACATCATAAATTCGTAATTTTGTAACAATATAGAAGATACCATTTTATAATCTCTAAATGCATGAGGATGATATAGAACCAACCCTAGAGCATTACCAAATAATATAAATTTATATGTATGTATTTCTCTAAATAAAACGAAAAAAAATATAAGACTATATAATAATGCAGAGGCAAATTGTAACCATCGAGGGTTGGATCAAAGTGTCGAAGGATTTACATTGAAATTTAAGTTATCATAGATTTCAATGCAGCCATCCCCACTGTCATCAAAGCGTAGTTCAGCTACTTTTATTTACAATAATAAAATCATATTTTTATTTACAATTTGTTATGTTAAGGCTTAATACCAAAATAAGTGCCAAACTATCGAAATAATTATATTAATTACCTCAGTTTCCATGTGTCTGTCTAGCCCACGTTATTTTATTAAAGAAGGCTTACATCCGAATTTAATGGCGGTAAACTATTGATGTTATTATTTTGTAATAAATCGGACATAAATAATGGTTACTGCAGTTGCAAAGTATGATGTGACACTCGGTCGGCACTTCCTGGTCTTTTGATATTTTTTTGGACCAACCGAAAAAATATAAATCTTAGAGCTGTAATCTTCCTCTACTCTTCACCGTCGGAGACTACATTACCGGTTTCACTCACCATGCTTGAGCTCTGGGTACTAATCAGGTAAAACCTCTGACTGTAAAGATGGGGCCGTGTTGTGACTGTGATAGCTAAGGAGCTGGAGGTCTGAGAAATTTATGGCAGTAGATGATGCCAACTGTATGTTTGATGCAATCGTGTAGCCGAGTCCCAGAGCGTAAACAGATTGTCGTTTACCCAACCAAAAAAAAAAAAGAACAACATAATGTAAGTAATTTAAGCCAAACAGAAACAACAGGATGGCTAAAACAAGGCTTAAAAAATGAAGGACCAAGCTGTTTCTTTTCCCTTCCCTAGATGTTGCCTTGGAGTTGGAGATGGACAGCTTCATTTGTACGAGTTTTTTTTTAAACCCTCGGTTTTCTGCGCTCTTATAATGTACTAGTATATGGTATTTTATTATCTTCGGAGCCATTTAACCCTGTGAGGGATCCGTTTTGTAGAGGACAAACATGAAGTTTAGGTGAAATTACTGACGGTACGGATGGAATCCATCATATTCTTATATTGATCACTAAACTTTAAAAACTTTTCAATTTGATCATTCAACTTTGACGGAGTTAAGTCAGAAACATCATAGTGATGTGGCCTTTTTGTACTAGTTTTCGTTATTTATATAAGCTCGTCGTCAGTTTCCATAATCATAACTTGCTTTGTATTTGGTGGTAAATTAGTAAATAGGTGTAAGATCTAATATTTTTTAACTTTAAGTAATTAATATTTGAAACAAACTGACCTCAACACAAATAGTACATTGACCAAAGCTGAAATAAATGAGAAAAATACAGCAATCAAAACCTCTATGATACAACGTACGCCCACAATCGTATCCCTTCATCAACTCAACACCGAAAACCAGGAACAATGTATATGTAATTAAATGTGAAAAATGCTCAACACTACCAACCCTTACGAAGAACAACCCACCAGTCTCGATTCACAGATCGAAACGTTCAGCTGCGATGCCTGAAACTCAACTCCCGAGCTAGCATCTTTCATAAATCTCGAGGCATATCATGAGGTGAAAATTGGCTTTTAATCTGACAGATTACAGTTTTGGGATGCCTGTCTATACCAGAATCCCCTCCAGGTGGTTGCATGAGACCGAATGAGTCTATAGAAACAAGTGGAAGGGCCTCCTACACCCAAGCGAGAGAACCTCGATCGTTTGTTACTTGAGGACGACCTCTAGTAGGCGTCGGAGGTCTGTTAGCATTAAGCTCCTGGAATATTAACACGGGTATTAAAAGCAATGCTCGTGATACAAATTAAAGGCATATCATAATAGTATTAGTTTAGTTATAGCTAACGAAGAGAAAGAAGAAGCACCTGCATCCATGTATCATCTACATGACGTTCCGATGATGCTTCAGGTGACATTGCCGGGGGTAGAGGATGAATGAGCTTCGGAACTACTACTAAATCTCTACCCAAAACTAGGATTGCACCAGCATTGTTAGCAGTGCCTGAAAAAACAAGCACGAATCAGAATTTAAAAGGCTAAAAATGGTCTGTCGAGCAGAGGACACCGTATGTGTATTAGAGAAGGGTCAGAGATACACCGCAATAATTGGTTGCTGAGAAAAGAGTGATTAAATGTCCCTGAGCAAAACGCTCGAATCCATCCATAACACACTCATGAGCTCGAACAATCAACTGAAGATCATTGTTGCTGCAAAATTCCATGACACGATCAGGCTGCAACAGGAAACACCATTTATGTAAGCAGAAAATGCAATTGCAAACCAGCATTCAATTAAATTAACCGAAGTTTTAAAGTAGCACACTAACCCCAAAAGTAACCAACCCCGGACCTCTAGCATTTGGTCTCAACCCTTCCACACTATCATTCTCTGTTGGATCAGACCTAGGGTAGAATCGACAGTAAAATGTATTTGGTAAAGCGATAAATCCTATATTTAATCAAAATAGAAAAACAGTAACATGATCAGACCATAATAAATCCATAAGAACGATCGAGCCTGCTTCCATTGTAATTGGACGCTGTAGATTCTCAATCTGTTCCACATGATTTATAGACCGGCCAATGCCACCATGCATACAAATGATTTTCTTTTCAATTAAAGCTGCCAGAGGAAGCCAATTGAATAAACGGTTTATGCAATGCCATGCCCATATTCCATCTCTCTCACCCTGTGACATAGACCATCATATTTGTGAATAACTGATATACACAAAAAGCAGAACATTTTTTCTATCACATCTGAGAGTACCATGCGCTCAATACACTCGATCCGGAAGCCAAAAAGTGCATTGATATCTGCAGCCTCATGATTCCCCCGAATTAAATGTATGCTATTGGGATACTCAACCTGTTATGTTAATGAATTATATGAAAATCTCGGTTCATCTCAACTTCAATGGGAAATAAAAGTATGAGAAGATTATCTGAATTTACCTTCAAAGCAAGCAGAAGAGTAATGGTCTCCAAGCTGTGCTGGCCCCGGTCCACATAATCTCCTAAGAAGAGATAATCTATATATCTGATAGTATTTTATATAAAATCAGCATCGAGTAAATAAAAAGCTGAGATGAAAAACAAAGGTGCCATACTGTAGATGCACCTTACACATAAGAAGACAACAGTAATAATAGATAGTAAAAATTGTCAGTGAAAACCCTTCAGAAAATGATAATTTTTTCACCAAATCACTTACGCAATGTCCCCAGCCGTTGAAGGTGAACCATATTCATCAAAAAGGCGCATAAGATCCCCAAACTGTCCATGTAGATCACCAAATATCTTAATAGGAGCCTTGAGCTGTAAAACAGTTGGTTCGACCGAAAATATATTTTCAGCATTTTCACAGAGATCTGCAATTTCATTGCAATCTAAGAAAAACTGTCTGCGAACAGGAGGCTTCCAACCACGAGGCTTCAAAAGATGCTCAATGACCTGGTGCAGGCACCATTGTAAATTGATGAATTAATCTTTTAAAGATTCTGAAAGATATAACAGGAGCATCAGTGCAAGACTAATGCAATTAAATTGATAAACTTTTATCAGCTATAACTTCATTATTATATCGGTGACCAATAGAAAAACAAATCAAAGGTTCAATCCATATGTAATATTACAAATAGATTATTAAACTGGAATATTCAAGGGGAAAAGAAGATTTTTTATGTCCATTAAATGTAATTTAATAAAAACTAGAGAAGCTTAAGGATGAATTCTTTACAAGCCACATAAAAAGAATAACAGAAGCAATTTATCAGAAAAATAATAACAAATAATATTTTTAATGCTGATGTGCTTGGCTTAAGATTGCAAGGCAATGAAATGAATCGCGAGCATGGTAATGAATTATTCCCTACATATAATCACGAACGAAACAATTTGCTGCTTTTGAGCTTTTTCCTCTTTCCCCCTTTACTCTTTTCATAAAATTAAGCTACGGATTAAGAAGATTAAGGACATTTCATAATTAAGCCAAAAAATGCAATCGATACCTTCTTTGGGACACTACTGATTGACATCTGCCTATCTAAGAGTTTCCTTGCTGCAGTTGCATTCTCTGGTGTTCCATAGCTAACCCGCCTGCCTTCATTTTCAAATTGGTCAATTGAAAGCTGTCTGACCATTCCACCTAAAGCTCCACCAGTCTCAGCAGCTACGACAATCTGTTGACAACATAGGACGCAAAATTATATAACAGAAAATGACAATATTGACTTGAGACCAGTGTTGTGTAGACCAAATTTTCCAATACTGACAGCTCTATGATGAAGCCGAACTCCAGCTGGAGTAGCATTATTTGACCCAGCAGAATCAGGCATCTTAGTAGAGGTAGATGTTTGTTTTCCACTAGGTGTAGCCTCTGCCCCTCGATCCCTATCGGGAAGTTCAACTTCCCCATTAGCTTGCCGTGCCTTGGCAGCAGCCAGTGTTGCAGTAATAGCCTCAGCTTCAGCAGCTGATGCTTCAACCAAATACTCGACACCTTTGCTCATCCTCCTGCAATATAAACCACATTGTAGAAGCTATTTGGATTAATCGAGGAAGCTTAAGCATTCAATAACCATCTAACACGACAAAATAAGTGGTAGCTCACCGGGATCCTTGAAGCATGGCATTCTCAGTGCTTATGTCAGTATACACATCACCATTTACAGGGGGAGCAACTGGATTTCCCAGCACAACTGCTCCATCGGGAGATGCTTCAGACATTGTTTCCCTTGTTCTCTCATCACTAAATCCATACCTTCCATGTAACCGCCCAGGTTGCACATTAGAAGAAGCAGCTGCAGCTGCAGCGTGTGAAGCTGCTGTCGTTGTCTCAGCGGCAGCTAGGTCTTCAGCAACTAGCAAGTCATCAAGCAACACCCCTACAGCATAAATACAAGATATTATTGCACTTCAGCTTATCAAGCATCCACCCTCGTATGGATTAGCATTAACTACCAAAGTTTTTCAAAAGTGTAAACTCCATGATAGATCAAATACGAGAAAAGAAGAGAAGGTGCATAAAATTCATTCTTCGCTAGTTTTAAACATCCAAATATAATCTCATGAAGTGGGGAAGAATCAAGACCTACAAAATTATCCCTTGGACCAACATTTGGTCCAAAACACCAGCTTCCAAGTTTATATAGAAATTCTTCAATGTCAGAGTGTCCTATTTAAATGTTTAGACAATGAGGCAAAGGAACAGATTTAGGCGTTTCATACTCACCATGTAAAACTATACTTTTATCATAAGATGGAATCATTAATCTATCACAAGAAACTTCTTCCTAGTTGATGCCTTACACCACCTACTTGCTGTCATCAGTCAATGCACAAGTATGAAGATATGTAAGCTGGAACAATAGTGTCTTATCTTCCTCAAAAAACAAGCTACTTCCTCAACCCATGCACCACCGGCCAGAAAAATTCACCAACTCAAAAAATAGAAGCTAATGAAATAGGAAATCATTTTATGAAACAAACGAAATGAGCCAACCTAAAGGACTAGGTTTGAATCCCATGATGCATTGATTAATTATCACAATAATAATTAGTAACAGTCGAAAATAAAAAAAAATTATGTATGGGGAAAACATCATTATTTCTCAAAATATAAACAACAATGAGCCTTTGTCCTTCTATATTAATCACATAATGGAATTCTAAAGTGAAACTGTAATCATGTATGACAATAAACAGTGACATGCATCTAACCGATAGTAATAACTCTGTGTTAAGGCTAAAAAATGGGGTTATACATATTGTAGAATAAAAGGCTATCTTACCACCACGTAAACCACCATAAATAAATATCAAGTCACCAATAGCTGCAGACGCGTGTCTGCAACGTCTTGTCAACTCAACTGAAGCATCTCCACCAGCAGCATCAGCACTGAATCTTCCATTTCTCGGACTTGTAACAACAGCTTTTGTATCACACCAAACTCCCGCAGCGGTATCCAACACTACAACAATAGGAACAGGTTAGGAATTTGTAGATTCCAGCGAATATGTTTCCTTTGACAACAAATGAATGAATGTTCAAGATGATAAAATATCACTTAACATGTTTATATGTCAATAATAAAATAAAGATGTTGAAACTTTCCCGCTTTTTTACATAAATATAACAAAATCCAGAAATTTATACTGCCTTAGTTGAAAAACAGAAGTTAACCTCTAAACCTAAATATTTACCAACCCATGTTTGATGCAAACAAGTAAAACAACCAGCAGAGAACATCATGTGGTAAAGAAGTCAAGACACAAGGAAAAAATCAAGTACCTGCAACACTTGATGAGTCTTCAACCATGCGTCCACCACCAAGTGCCCCACCAGAAACATGGAGTCTTGCATTGACAAAGACCTAGAAACATATCATATGCATATGATTCATCTAACTAAAAGAAGTCCTATATGAACTAGATTGTTGAAAAACAAAGTGGGGGAAAGAAAAGAAGATCTCATTCTCACCGCTGCATGTTGATATCTAGGAGATGGTGAGACACCTGGAGCAATTGCCCATTCCCAACGACCATCCCTATGTTTCGCAAGTCCGTATGCACTTGCCAGTGGCTGAGAAAAGAATCAGAGAGAGAAGAAACCATGAAGATAGAATCTAATGGAGCAAAGGGATGTAAACATTTTAAAAGGACAAAAATAGGACATAAATTACATGCATCTCAGCTCAATCTTCTGTACATACAGATTAGTACCGACATTTACTCAGATTATTTGAACTTCTCCCCAACTGACAACGAAAAACTACCCAAAAGCACTAATAATTGACAAGATAAACCTATAGATTATGAAATCTACTGTCATATTGTTCAGAAAACTAAAAATATTATGAAAAAAATGTCATTTATTTACTAAATCTAGACATCACAGAATGCAAATTTCTATACTTACCACACTGTTTGCGTCCCTCCCTCCACAGAGCAGAAGAAGACCATCTGAGCGTGCACTTGCAGTAGCATACCTAGTTAAACAGAAATTGTCAACAAGGAATTAGCCTACAGTCACCCTGGTAAACCATCATAATGAAAAATAAATAAACAACAATAAGTAAATAGGATGCAAGCTTGGCAATTGACATCATCATTTCTGAGACCATAAATAAGACTATGAGCTTTAGCATACAATTATGTAAAAACTTTGAAATCAATATGCTATGAAGGAAGAAGTGCAGATAGATTAATTAATAGTCATCATGTCCAACCACATGTAAAGTGATAGATAGGCATATATGGTATCAAAATGGTGACAATGACTTTTGTTCATATCATGCATGCTGCTCCTTCTCAAAGACCCAAAACTAAAAAAGTAGAAGAGATTGTATAATCTAAGATTGATGTTGATCTATTTAAAAAAAATAAGATTGATGTTGTGCAAGAACACCAGTCTGCACGTTTGTGTGAGAGAGAGATTACATGCATGGAGGTGGACCTTCCCCTTCAGGTTCCAATTTACGCCATTCATAAGGCTTGGCAGCAGTGTCCAAGGCCCATACATCAGCCAAAGGTCTCTTTCCTAGTAATGATGCACCAAAATTTTTCAACAAAGAATTCACTACAAAGTTTCCTGATAATCTGTTACATGCAACAAAAATGGAATAACAGGTTACTTACCATCATTCCCACCAATCGCCATGAGATACCTTTGCCCAACCAAAGCCATCACATGTCCATAGCGTGTCCCTGGGCCAGGGCCTTGAACAACAACTCTGAAATATCATTGAAAATTTGAATCAAAAGACAAATCTTAATGCTATAAATAAGACGCAGGTACAAGCATTGTTCAGTGTCAAACCTATGCCACCGTGGCCGTTGCTGTGTGAGGTCAAGAACATGAAGATCCTCGGCAGACAAACCAGCTGGTCCAATCCCACCCTGTGTTATAATAAAGAAGATCCATGTGATGAATTACTATTGCAGAGGGAAGAAGTTCGAGAAAATAAGATGGTAAAGAGAGAAAAGGTATACTACAAATTGTTGCACAGTGTACTAACCTGAATAACAACCATGGTTCCAACAGCAGTTGCAACATGTGCAGCCCTTGGTGTAGGTGGCTCCCCCAAAGGTGTGATCCTGTGAAATCAATCACATGATAAGCCAAGAAGAATTTCAGGAAGTAAAACAGCAGAAATGAACCCTCAGTCCTAGGCTTACCTAGACCATTTATTAGTTAACACGTCATAACAATGCACATCAGCAGTAGCACCTGCTAGTCCTGTAATTTAATTGGAAATAAAATAAAAAATTTAAGCACGAACATCATCCAAAAACATATAAAAATTCTTAAGAATTAATTGGCTCAAAGAGGATTATGGGCAATAACAAGAAGGCTTGGCACCCTTATGTCATATATCCAGGGTTCTTAACAAAAATAAAGTCAAGAAGGTCCTAATCACACATAATTATTGAAACCAATAAAAAACATTATCAATTTTTACAACATAAAAATATGTAACGAAATGTAGTTGACTGAAAACATGAAAGATGCTACCATGGCAAATGCCACTAGCTCGCAATTATTTTGATTGATTATTTCAATTTTAGGAGCATGAATGATAACAGCAGGAAGATATAGCCACATTATTTTCCGAATCCAAGAAAACCTTTTTTATTTTAAATTAAAACTGTGAGCTGAAAACAGACATATCTCATACACACAGATTTAAAAAATCAATCAAAATTAGAACCATAAAACATCTTTAAAGAGAATATTGTCTATTTATATTAACTGCACATCCAGCTCTGTCAGCAAAGTCTACTCTAAAAACATTGGGACATACCAGTGCGGATGCATGGGGGAGTCATTGCACACCCATTATTTTGAGAAAAGTGTTAAATTTAATTTGTTAATGTGAATAAAAAAAATGAGGAATTTTGCATACACAAAATCTTTTAGAATAGAGTATTAAAATTTTGGATAACCATTTTTTAATTTCTAGATCCGCCACTGACAGATACTGAAACATCAATTACACACGAGCCAAGAAGGCAGAAGTTAAATCACTCCTAGTCTTCCCTCATTCTGTAAGAATAAATAAAATTCAATTTGAATTGCACTTAGTAAACATAAGGTGCACGCGCCACCTCCAAAATTTCATGCAACAGCAACAATAAATTCAAATAACTTGGCATTCAACAAAGAAAAATCTTAAAGATAATTATATTACTTCATCTCTTATTCCTATTAATGCCTGCCTTCTAGGCTTCTACTTCTAACCTCTTCACTCTTTACAGTAGTTGTTTCTTCATCAATTCAAATAGAAGATGAAGACAATTATATGCATCGTGAAATTAAGTTAGCCTTGAATTAAGTTCTGGTTTCTCACACACATATATCAACACCTATACCTGAAATTAAATCACTTAAAAAGACAATAATTTTAGGCCGTTTTAAGCAAATATCAAATCAAGATCAAAGGGGGGAAATGTACTGATGCCAGTGCTTCCAGCAGATGATGGAGCTCCTGAAGCAGCAGAATTCCCTTCCAGTGCAGTGGCACCACCAAACAGAATCAGCCTGGGCTCAATATAACCAGGCGTCCCTTCTTCCCCCACCGCTGCCACAGCCGTTAGTGTATGCCCGCATCTAGGGCCGGGGCCATCTTCTTTCTTCTCTATAATCGCATTCACCACCGAATAAGGAGGCGCACACCTTGGCCCCACCACCGTCATTTGAGCATGTCCTTGACCATCAGGCACAGCAGGTGAGGCGTCCTGTAGCGACGGAGGAGACGGAGATCCACCAGGACCCGGCGATGAAGTCTGGCTCTCTAAATGCTGATTTTGTTGTTGTGGATCTCTCTCCATCAACGAGTCCACATCCATTCCTTTAAAGCTCCCGAACTAAATCTTAGGTTTCAAAAGATCGTAAGAAAAGTAAGCAACTTATCTTTCCCTCACGCTAGTGCTCCTTCGTTGATCGTGTAAGCTTAAGCTCCAACTTTTCACTGCTCGACCTTCGCATTCGCCTTAATAGAATGCCAATGAAGTAAGATAAGAAAGACGTGAAATTGAAAGACGTAGAAGAAAAAGCTCTACTCCTTTGCCAATGGCTTTCGCTCACCACTGCCGGCTAAAATAATAAATAAAAGCTCTAATCAGGGCAAAACAAGATTGGCCTGCTAATTAAAATCAAATCAGATCAAATTTCCATCTCCGATCAACATTTCGAAAACCCTAGCTCAGACCGTGAATTAACCCACCACCTAATAAAATTGGACAAATATTTCCAGTAAAACTTCTTTATTATTCCAGAAAAATAAAGAGAGAAGGAATCTCCTTTCTGTTTTTCATTTCCGTTTCGAAGATTTTTCCTTTCCTTTCTCTCTCCCTATAGACCTCGAAGCCCTCGACGAATTAGGAGAAAAATATTTGAGGTTAAAATATGTTTCAAGTCACTGTAATCTTCATTAATTTTGAATTTAATCTTTTATTTCTAAATTTAAAATTCAAGTATAATGGTAAATATTCTTTTGTTAAATTTGTCAAAATGACATTTCAAAGAAAAATTATAATTCCAAAGACATTTGAAAAGAAAACGATGTCAATTAAAATAAATTTTAATAAGCATTATAATTAGATTTGAAATTTTAATTGTAAAAATATTAAATTTAAAAGGTATATATAATAAAAATATTAAAGTATTTGATATTAGATTATGAAATTTAAATATTTTTTATTGAACATACATTAAATTCACATTAAGAGAGTAAAATAAAGTTTAATAGGAAATTTTAAAACTAATTAATTATCGAAATAATAATTGACATTAGGGTGTTCAAAATTCGGTTTTAACTGAATTAACTGATCGAATCGAATTAGTTTGGTTAATTCGGTCGGTCACCGAATTAGTTTTTCGGGGAATGGTTAAGGATTTTTTTAGAATTCGGTTAACAGTTAATTCGGTTTGAAATCGATTAATTAACTAAATTAACCTTTAAATATAATTATATTAAGAGACTTAGCTGGCCCAATCTATTTAAAACCCAAATCAATATTAATTAATTAAAATAATCTCAAAACTAAATGTAAAATGTTTGAATCAAATTAATTAGATATTATTTAAATTAATTGTAAATTGTTTTTAATTAAAAATATTAAATTCTAAAATTCTAAAAAATTGGTTAATTCGAAAATTAACCGAATTAACCGAAATTTATTTGGTTCGGTTAATACTTTCAAAAAAAGTTCGGTTCGGTTAACGGTTAAAGAAAAAAAATTCGATTAATTCGATTAAAGATATTTCGGTTCGATCGGCTACCTTTTTAACCGAATGAACACCCCTAATTGAAATGGTGATCAACCGATTATCAAAATTTAATTTGATATAAAGGGTAGTGGTGGTGGCTTTGCTCGACCACTTTTATGTCATTTTATTTTCTTTTATTTTATTTTTCAATTGGTTATTGTTCGATTTTATTATTTATGAGTTGTATTTTAACGTATTTATAACAATAGTTTCTCTCGATCTACTCCCTAGTAAAGAATGTAATAATTATCAATGCATTCGGGCTCCCAGTATAATTTTTTCTATTGGTCTACGACTTTACGAGATTCATTGGTTTGTTTACTTTTATGATGTATGGTTTCTTCGTTTGTTTGTGTATAACATTTTGTTGATTTCTAGATAGATGTGTCAGTTAATGTTTGTCTGGATAAATACTAATGTCTTAATTCGTCATGAGTCTACTGTGTCAATTGCATATTCCATTGTAAACCTGATTTTTCTCTCTCATTTTTCTTGCAATGTTATCCCTTGATTGTATTTTTTTAGGCTTAATTCAAAAATAAGTGTTTGAACTTTGTCTGAAAAAAGTTTTAGTCCATAAAGAATTTTTTGCTAAAATATGTGTCTATTGTTTCTAAAGTTATACATTTAGGTGTCCGCCATTAAAAATCATCGTTAACTGACCTTTAATGTTCTGATAATTTTAAGAAATTATTTAAAAATAAAAATATTTTTTTGTAAAAAAAAAACAATGCCCCCTCTCCCTTGTGCTACCTTTCCCCCTTCCTCTACCTCCTGCAATAGGTCATCGGCAGTGATCATCACTGCCATTATCATCGGCACCGGCATCAATCTTCGATTAAACTCCCGGTGACCTTTTGTCGTAAGATGTCATCGTTTGTTGTGGAGAAACGTTTGAAGTTTCGTCGAATTTTAAACTATTGTCGTTATTTTTGTCGACTCCGACCGATCCCAACGTCTATATGCCACATTGTCACTACCATTTGAACCACCGTCCAAGCATGCAAGGCGAAACAAGCTCTTGTTTCCTATTGATGAGTTTATGAATTTGGGTTTTGGTGAGTGGATCCGTTTAAATCTCAAGGAGCCTTCATATTTTCCTATTGATGAGAGTGATTGGGATATTCTCTTTGGGGCTGTAATATTGTACCTTCGAAACAAGCTCTTGTTTGATCTGAAACATGTAGAAGAGCTAAGTGTAATCCACCGATCAAGGAGAATGCAACACGAAGCTATCACTGCTGCGGTAAAGCGGAGAGTTAGCAAGATCGTTCCAGTGCGTGGCCTACAGTCTCGATCTCATTGGTTGCTTCCCCCGAGTGGTTGGCTCAAAGTAAATTCTGATGGATCTCGAGTTTCTTCTACGGCACTTGCGGCTTGTGGTGGCTTAATACATGATTTCATGGGGGGTTGGGTTTCGGGCTTCTTCAAGACCTGGGTTTGTGTTCGATACTCGATGAAGAACTTTTGGGAATATATGAAGGTATGACTTTAGCTTGGGAGATAAGGTGCAAGGAGGATCATGGTAGAAACGGATAATAAGGAGGCTTTTTCCTTGCTTCAACAAGGTGCGAACATGGATGTTGTTTCAAATATGATCGACCACTTGAAGGAATTGATCTCAAGAAATTGGCGGGTTCAATTCTTACATGCTGGTCGTGAGGGTAATCTAGCTGCTAATGCTATCACCAAACTTGCATGGTGTCATCATTTCGGGACAACCAACTTTCCCGAGCCACCTGCTGCTGTTGAAGAAATCTTGTCCGAGGACAGAACTTGAGCAATGTCTTGATCACTTTTCCCTTGTATTAAAAAAACAAACAAACAAACTTTCTAATAAGCATTTCTTTAATTTTGATTATATTTAAAGTACAATGATTAATCCCAAATTTTGATTAAAAAAGGATGGTGAAAAGTACTACAGTGTATTGGGTATCACAGACGCCACTTGACCCGATCCAGCTTGAGTTCGGTTTGTTTCTTCACCTCCATTGCCCAAGTCTTAAACCCAACTCATTAAAATTAATCAAAAGTCATCACTTTCATCAATTCTTCCCCGATAACCTCAATTTCAAAGTCTTCCCCCTTTGCCCAAATCTACCCCCCCCCAAAAGTCCTGCTGTCCCTTTTGACCCTTGTTTTTTTAACCGATCTACTGGGTTGTTTTCCTGCTTGGAGGTAAAGTGATTTCTGTGTGTTTCTCTGATTTTATTTTCTGGGTTTCTTTTGTGGTGCTTGATTGGTGAGAAAATTGAGGTAAAGTTCAAGAATTTATGGGGAAAAGTTGGTTGATTTGTATGGTATTTTTTTATCAAATGTGCATTTTGGGGTTTCTTCTTAGTTGATTTTTCTGCATTTTTTGTATCTATTCTGAATTTTGGAGTTTCTGCTTTGTAAAATCCTTTTAAAAAGAAGATTTTTAAGGCAGCTTAATTTGCTGATATTTTGTTCAAAGGGTTTCGATTTTTCCATTTTATGCATTTGATCAGTGTGGTGTTGTGTCTTCCGTGTTGATTGTATATGAACTGGTTTCATTCTGTGCTAAAGATATGATTAAGTTTCATTTTAAATTTTTCTTTATCTATAGAAAACTGGGATTTGAGATTGAAATTGGATGTTTTGGTGTTTGTCCTTTGTAGGGGATGGAAGATATCAATTCCGAGGCAGGCTTAAACTCGGCTGCGGCTTTTGTGGAAGGGGGAATCCAGGATGCTTGTGATGATGCCTGCAGTATATGCCTCGAAGGATTCTGTGAAAGCGATCCATCCACGGTATATATGGCTGAGAATTTCGATTCTCGTTTGCAGATACATGAAATGTACATTTCATTGATAATTTTTCGTTGTGACATTTACAGATGACTGGCTGCAAGCATGAGTTCCATCTTCAGTGCATACTTGAATGGTAGTATAACCAATATCCATTTCATCGAGTTTATTGTAGTTTATATTTGTTTCATCTTATAATTTGTATCTGCATATGTGTATAGCAATAGCGAATTGTTTGGTTTTGAGCTTGAATGTGCCTCAATCTTCTTTTATAGATCATTCAGTGAAATGACTTGTATGAGTAAAATACCCTATTGACCGGACTCGTGAAACTTTGAAAATATTTACCAATGGAGTTCATCTACTTGCTTAAAAAAGGAATGATTATTACCTTCATTTGTTATTTTACTATTCTAATCTTGCAGGTGTCAGAGGAGTTCTCAATGCCCCATGTGTTGGCAGACAATTAGCCTGAAAGATCCGACTAGGTTGGTATTTCATCTATTTTTTTAGTTATTATTTCATGTTCTGATTCTTTAGCCATTTATATTACATGCTAACAATTTACTCTTGCTATGGCAGCCAGGAGCTGCTTGAGGCTGTTGAACGGGAAAGGAGTTTCAGGTTCAATCCCTCAAGAAATGCTACCATATTTCGTCATCTGACTCTTGGGGATTTCGAACTACAACATGTTTGTATTTCTTCTCATCAGCTAGCCTGATGTCTAGCATCCTCATTCTAGGATCGTTAAATTGAACCCGAGCCAAATTCTTAAGAAAGAGCCATTCTCATCTTGGTTGCTTTTATTGCAGCTGCCTGTGGGCGTGAATGAGACAGAGCTTGAGGAGCGCATAATTCAGCACTTGGCTGCAGCTGCTGCAATGGGGCGAGCACGTCACATTTCAAGAAGGGAAGCTCTGAGGAATAGGTCATCAGCACAAGGGCGTTGTCCGCAATTCTTGGTATTTGCTCATTCAAGTGAACCCTCCTCAAATGATCCTGTAGCTTCGTTATCTCCAACTCCAAGTGAAGGTGAACATGTCCGTGCAATTGCTGTTTCTCCTGCAAGAACAATGGGGGAAGAATCTTTGGCATCAATTACTCCTCTACCTTCTGTCCAAGCTGATCAGCAGTCTGCCTTGGCATCTGGGTCCAGTGCTCTTTCGGTCAACGATCAAGGGACTTCCTCAAACTCTAGGTACACTCTATTCTCTAACTTGATTCCCCTTATTTTTCGACTTTTAGGTAGTTCTTTTTTATCAAACTCTTTAGAACACATTTTTCAGCCTTTCTTTATTTCTTATCACGATAATATATTCTATCACTATCTTTCAGGTCTCCTAGTCAGTCTTCTCCAAATAGTCAAGATAGAGCTGGACCTTCAGAAGCTCAGTCATTTCCCGAATCACTAAAATCACGGTTTAATGCCATTTCAACGAGGTATCTTTCGTATGGAGACATTTGAGATTTTAGCTAGGGTATTTGTATATTTCCTTTTGCATGGTTTATTATATAAGTTTGCACCCTCGTTTTGACTTATGAATCTCTTTAGATACAAAGAGTCGATTTCAAGGAGTACAAGGGTCTGGAAAGAAAGATTTTTCTCTCGCAACACTTCCATGGCAGATATTGGTTCTGAAGTAAGGAGAGAGGTTAATGCTGGCATTGCAACAGTCTCTCGCATGATGGAACGTCTAGAAACCTGAGATAATAGAAACAGCACTGATACTATAACAAGCACTTTAGAGAATAGCTCTAATCCAGAACCAAATATTCACCAAACTACTACAGCTACTGTAACTAGCAGTTCTGAGAGCGGTTCTAATCCGGAACCAAAGGACCATCAGATATCAGATGCAAGTGGAGAAGCTCCTTTTACCGACACCAGTGCACACACTTCATGTGCTACGAGTTCAGCATCCAAATAAGTATCATTTCAACTATTGCATCAACTGAAAGTGTTTTAGCATCAAAGGTAGGCTAAGGTGTTGAAATTTTGCTTGATTTTGATATCTGCATGTAGATGATCATTTATCTGATATTTCATTCCTATCTAAAGCCTACTCAAATTGGCAATTGCTATGATGACTGGTTCCAAGTGGTTATCATTCTCTCTTATGAATCCAGTCATATGATCTTAATGGCCAATACGACCCCAAAATTTGAGTTAAATTAGATAAACTTCCGCACCATGTTAGATTACTTAGTCACATAATATATGTGTGTGTACAACTTCTGATATCGACTGAATATTTCTGTAGCATGCTAATTAAAAAGTGCTCCAACTCCCTTAAACCGTATTCATCACGTATCCATTGCTGCACTGTTCCTTTGTTCTGTCAGCGTGAGGTGCCATTTTGCCCTGGATTTTTCAGTTGTTTTTTGAAGTACCGTTAGCCACACACACAAACATATCATTATCCGACTTTTATACTAAAGTCGAGTAAAATAGGTGACGGTATTGAAATGTTGTAACCAAATGTTTCTTTTCCCATGCAGAAATGTTTTTTGGTGGACGTTATCAAGTACATGGAAGAGAACAGTTGGTGACTGAACTGATTCAGAATAAAGTTGAGCATTATTCAGAAACCAGGAATCAGCAGGTTATGTAAATGAGTTTATAATTTTAATATAGTTGTATAATTTAAGGCCCTCTATTGATAGGTTCTCAAGTGTTGAAGATTTGACTAATTTATTAAATACTTTGTTACTTGTTCTGCCATTTAGATGACTATCTCATACAATAAGTTCTTCATTGAACGAAGTTATGAATCAATTTAATCAAGTTGACCTACCAAGAATGCTGGAACTATATTTATGAATGGGATTCCCTTCGGTAGATCGCCTGGCCAACACCGACCTTAGTACTGGTGGCCAAACCGCCCTCTCCCTCCCGCTTCATCTTCCATTTCCGTCCTTTCTATCTCCTCTAATCTCTCCTTTTCCTCCCATCCTCTATCACCATCGCTTGCCAAGCCACCTCCATCAGCCATTATTTTCTGCCATGGGAGGACCCTTTTTCTCAGAACAATAAATTGTCTAGGATTTTGGGAATTCTTGAATCCATGGTGAAATAATTGGTAATCACTGCCTTTGTATGGATGGTTTCGAAGTTATGAGGTCGAGAATGTGTTCCGAATTTATACGATGTACTCAAGTCAAATATCATAGGGAACAGTAACTCGATGTTGTATATTGAGTTCTACGTGAAACTATATTTATTAATAGCCTTGTCAAAATGAAAAAACAAAATCATTTGCCAACTGTGATAGAACTGCAGCAACTAAGTAATGTAAGCAATGGTTTCATTCAAACTCGAATACAAGGTTTCCTAAAAGCAGCCAAAACATCGAACCAAACATTATGTCTTTGAGAAAAGTTTTTCAGACATGTCGCCATTATTAAGCAAATGGAAACCGAGCACAGGTGCCGCATTCAACAGCACTATAAGTTTTAAGATCGCCTCTGGCACTTCTTTTCCCACCATTCCATGAATTTGACTTGTGCAGCCATTGTATCCAACCTGTAGAGTTGAAGCCAGTGGTTTGCGACTTCTTGTCCGAATGTCCAACCAAACATGCCTCCTCCTAATAAAGCCAGTCCGGCACCTGAGACAAAAATCGGGTTGAAAAGCTTTAGATAACTTGTACCCATTTCTCATAACATTAACACCGAGTTTTATTAGTTTAAAACTTGCAACCTAGAATTTTTTTTCCAAGCCTTTTCGTGTTATTGTATCCAGGAAATCAGTGGGAAGAAGCTTAAAATAACTTCCCTTTGTCTCCTAATAGTCAAACCCAGTGTTTAAAAAGGCGCGCCTAGGCGCTAAAGCGAGGCAAGGGTGAAACGCCTAATTAGGTATAGGCGAGGCGATTTCAATGAAGGCACAGCAAGACGCGCCTAAGGCGTACTAGGCACTGAGGCGCCGCCTTTTATTTTTTTTGTCTTTTTTATTATGTTTTACGTACTAACTTATACATCAACAACAAAAAAGAAAAATGAAATGTCAGTGCAGAAAAGAGTAAAACATGGTGGGGATGATTAGAAAAGAGAGTTTCCTGGGAGACGTATGAAAATTTGGCGTAAAATACAGATAAAGGGGTGCTTTACCTTGTATAATTACTATTTTTCTTAAAGTTTGAAAGAGAGAAACAAAGGGGGATGAATAGAGGCCATTTTTGGTGTTAAAAAAGACGACCGATCGAGCAGGCAAAATGAGAGAGAGGCATGCCTGCACAAATTGAGAATCGGGGGAGGAAAAGATAGGTTTCAATGAGTTTTATTGCATAGTTATTCTTGAGCAGCACGTTTAGCACATGGCGAAATTTGAATCCATGAGAAAGAAAGAAAAGCTTGAAAACACAATTTAGAAATACGAAAATGGAGGATTAGGGTGGATAGAAGTAGGGTTTAGGGTGTAGATGGTGTTGACAAGGAGGAACACACGTTTGTTGAGAGGTGCGAGGTGGAGGGACAAGAAGGAGACAAGTAAGAAGTTGATGCCAACTCATTATTAGCCTTCTATTTATTATTTCAATTTCTTATGTGGAATTGTGGACCGAGGGCGGAAGGGGGTTTTTGCTTCGGTTCTCAAGGTTCAATGGTAGATGGAACAAAATTGATGCTTAATACATAAAATGTTGATAATGAATACTATTTGGTATTTATATTGCATGAACTTGTTTTTTTTGTTTGATTATACAAGTGGAAAAAACTTATATATCTTTTATTTTCAAAAAGTACGCCTCACTTTAATAAGGCTCGCACCTTGCGCCTTGGCTATAAAACCCCTATCACCTTAGTGTGCCTTGCACCCTTTTTATCACTGGTCAAACCAAGGTCTAAAACCGACTTATAATAGAAGTAAATTTGCACCATAGCATGTTCTTAGATGCACAAAAGTTATTTTTTCTTACAAGTCTTTTAGTATTATTGTATCCAGAAAACCAGGCTAATTGTATTTTCCTTCATAATTTTTCTCTCTCCTACTGATCAACTTTAGTTGTATTAGTATGAATCCTAAGCCAGGGAACAATCTGGACCATGCTAGTCCTAGAAGTGCTTCGAAGCCAGTAAAGAAAGATATTCGTAAGACCTAGAGGACACAAAAACGAACTTCAGTTCACAAGGACATTACCGGAAACACAAGGGATTATGACTCATTGTGAACAAGGAGATCACTTATGCACTTACCATTGCCTCGTAATCTTCTTTGGCTACCTAGGTGGAAACATATGAGACTTGCTTATAGTTTTGTATATTTATTTATCGGCTTAATAATGCAATTTTCGAAAGGATCTTCCACACATACACTCCCCTCATTCTTAAAAGGAACTGGGATTTTGAACAGTATTCAGACTGAACCAGGTTTTGGCAGTTCCATCACTATTTTATATAACAAAAAGGGTGACCAAAGAGAATAAGCAGCATGTTACCATGTAAACTCCTCGAGTATTTCCAGGCAAGACCTGCAGTCGAGACAGCTCCAATAGCACTTCCTGCTAAGGCAATGGTTGCCGCTTCCCTAGTAGTCTTCAACTGAAAAGGCAAACAAATGAAATCAAGCAATTAGAAACTTGCTACTTCAATCAAATGACAATTACTTTAGCTGCATACCTTACAGACATAATTCGGCATTTTAACAATAACTTGCGCAACATACTTTTGAATCAATTAATAAAAACACCCCATTTTCAACAGTACTTTCAAGTTTCAACATTTTGAAATACTCGACATAAAATCACATAGAAGCCTAGAAGGACAGCACCATGTTCCTATTAGAAAGAAAACAAAGGAAAGCTATGCAAGGAATCAACTGAAGGCACAATCCAGCAGGTATGGGAATTCTAAAACCAACGCTACAAGCTAAAAAGCAGGGATAAGCTGAGATAATATACGAAGCCGGCTAGTTGAAATATATATATATAATAAATATATATATTAACAGTTGATATTAACAGTTCAATATAAGAAGATATTCGCTTAAAAACAATGAGTTAATCTTAGACTCCGATTTGCACTCAACCAACATTAATCTGTGTAAAATTAAAAAGATTATACACTGTAAAGTAGATCCTAACCCATGTATATATACGTTAGTGCACAAAGGAAACCCAATACGAAAAAAATAACAAATTCACTATAAGTTGAGCTAAATCAAAGAAAACCAATAAGGAAAAAAGCATCAAAAATGAAAGGGGGGGGGGAGAGTGAAAAGGGAAGAAATTATTACGATGGGACCATGGAACGGATCAGAAGCGATGAACTCGTTAATATCGGATTCAGACCATGATGGAAGAGACTCTTGGCGGCTGATGAATCTTGAATAGACATCGGTATATGGAAATCGCTCAGCCCAGAATCCTTTGAATTCTCGACAGTGCTTCTTCAAGAACGAATCTGATGATGAATCAGCCATTTTCTTTCGCTGATTACTATTTTTTAAATCGTATTGATTGATCTCTCGCTTTCTCGCACTCGGATTCCTCGGCCTCCTCACTTTAAAGATGGGTGTGAGGGTTTGGATTCTGTACGATGACGGGTCAGGTCGTTTTGCTGCACTCACCAATCGTATTATTATTTGTCAAATTTTCTTTTTAATCATAAAATTGTGTTGATTAATTATAGAAAACCATATCTTAACTAAATTAATTTTATATAATTAATAGCTGAGGGTTATTTTGGTTGGTATGTTTGTTATTTATATTGATTATTACATCTTAAAAATGATAGTTCAAATTGAATACCATAAGCTATAAATATCGGTTATTCGATCAAAAAATGACATATTGAAATTAAAGTGATTCAATAAATAATTGAGATCATAATGATCATTTAATCAAATATTAAGTACATATTTTAATATTATATAATTTTATAAATTTATTGAGTGACTTCACTAATAAAAATGTTATATTTTATAAAATTTAAATTTAAACAAATATATCTGAAAGGTACGTACGTATTATAGTAGACTAAAGAATTTTAAACATATATATTATATTTTAATCATCTCACACTATATCTTTCTATAAAGTACAATGATCATATTCTTATAAATTAAAGTAAAATTATTAATCTTTTTTATGAAGAGAGTGATGGAATCGATAATTAAGCCTAATTAAATTATTCTTTAATTCTTGTTGTCTTTTATTAACTGTTATTCCTCTTTCCATGATGGAATTAGGAACATATGCCCAATTATGTTAAAAAGTATTTGGAATGTGTTTGTTCCTTTCTTTTCCTTTTTTGCTTTTTTTCTTTCCAGTCCTCGTAAAGTTATCACTTATCATTTTTAACCCCAAGCAATCTTAATTAATAATCTTTATCAGTTAAAATTAAATTTGATTCATATATTTTTATAATTAATATATTTTGAGATTGTGATTGAAATTATATAACTAGGGGTAAACGAAACTCGGCTTGAATCGAAAAATCATTTTTTCCGACTCGAGAAAACTTGACTCGAATTAACTTCAAGTTGTAATTTCATAAACTCAATTCCGCTCGAAAAAAATTAAGTTCAAATTGAGTTGTAAAGTACAACTCGAATAGTAAATCAAATAACTCAAATTTTTAGTAATTAGTAAATTGATCTTCAAGTTTGAGTCAATTCTCTCGACTATGTATGATATATATGTATTACATATGAAAAAAAATGAATAAATATATATATATATATATTGTATATTGTTATAAAAAAACTACTAAAATTAGAATAAAATAATATCATAATATTATAAATATTTACAATTAAATTTAAATAAAAAATCAAAAAATCAACTCAGCTTGAATTTTGTAAACTTGACTAAAAAAAATTCAAGTCAACTTTGACTTATAAAATAAAAATTGTCGAAACGAATTTTTTTAACTCGACTCGATTTATCGTTCACCCGTACACTTAGACATACAATAACTCATTTGATTTAAGAAATTTAAAAGATTATAAATAGTTCAACCATTTATTAAAAATATTTATTTTAGGATTTTATTAGTAAACATTTTAATAGTTATTTTTAAATTATTCTTAAAAAAATTAAGAGTGATCAAATTTCTGAAAAATATCAACTAAATCCTTAATTTATTTACACTCAATTAAACCCAATGGCCGAGCCACGTATTAGTGAAGTATGAAATCTAAATTTTCTTTGATTAGTTACTTATTTTATTGATTGTGTCCACCTTGAAAATTTTCGTTCCCAATATGAAATCTGAGTTTTCTTCGATTAGTTATTTATTTTACGGACGGTGCTCACCCTGAAATTTTATTTGTACTTATCTCATTTAAAAATTTTATGTTGGTAATATATGGATATTCACCTTAAAAAAATATTTCTAGATCCGCCACTGATTAAACCTTTTGTGTCATGGAATTTCATCAATTCACCTATTTGATAAACATTAATTTTTAAATCTAATAATATTTTTAAAATCAGTTCAACGATTAAAATCAGTTAAATAATTTAATTAATTTATTTTTTTAATTTAAGAATTCAATTGAATGTATTAATAGTTTTTTTTTAATTTAAGAGCTAAAAGAATATCAATTATTCCCGGCCCTATCTTTATTTACATGTGGAATTTATTGATGAAAAGGTGTAAAGAATTCCTCTCATCTTAAATATTTTATGGTAGGCTCACGAGTGATGGTACAAGTGGTTGGAAATTAAAAATTTGAATTTGTAAAGTTAAATTCAAATTCTACCACAATCATTATTAGTAAACAATCGATAAATTCTTATATAAATCTTAATTAAATCTTAAATATATTATAACCTTGAACTAAAGGAACACCCTGACCTAAACTTTTTATAACAAAAAAAATATTCTATTGTAGCGTTATTCTCATTTCTTTCATTGTCTAGGAAATTGACCGATTACGGGATATTTAGATTCAATAATTTGTACATGTGTACAACTTTCATTTTTTTATTAATTATATAAATATAAACATAATATTAGAAAAATCAATGAGTAATCTCGGTAATGCAAAAATATTTATTTTAAAAAAAATTAAATTCGAACAATTGTATTATAATATATATATATATATATATATATATATATATATATATATATATATATATATATATATATATATATATATATATATATATAGTGGCGTATCCACAATTAGGGTGGGCACGTGCCCACCTTGAAATCAAAAATTTTTCGATTAATTACTTATTTTATTAATGGTGTTATCCTGAAATTTCTCTTGCCCACCCTGAATCTAAATTTTCTTCGATTAATTACTTATTTTACTGATAATGTCTACGCTGAAATTTTTTTTGTATCTATATCATTTAAAATTTTTATGTTGTGAATATATGTATGTACACCTTAAAAAGTATTTTTGGATTCGTCATATATATATATATATATATTATCAACAGCCGATAATATATGTTGAGTACGAATATTAATAAACTTGTGAAATGAGCATACCAAACAACTCAAATGTGTGAAAATCTAAATTAACTCTCAATTGAACATGATAATAGTACTGTAATTTATTTATTTATATTTTTTTAGTATTCTTACGAAAAAAATATTATATGTTGAAATTTGATTGAAACACGTGAATTTTCTAAAATATAATATTTAAGGATAACCTGATAAGAAATTCAAAAGTTGAAGGATTAAATTATTTAAAAAGTGAAAAGAATCTTTTAACAATATAACAGTAAAATAGAAATGGAATTTCTTCACAGCATTACAACAAACAATACAACATCATGCTATTTATAAGTCTCTACAAACAACCATCATTCTAGAATAATCTAACAAACATGACAGCTCACCATAAAAACTCATCAATACTAACTGCATATGAATAACAACCTGCCCCTAATCCATGCAACGTAGATGACTCGTCTTCATTGTTATTCATAGCTGCAACAGAATCAAAGTCGTAATTTTACTAAAACACAAGGGCTAAAGTAAGTATCAAACCATAATATGGAACCAAGAAAATACATTATTTAAAATAAAATACATTATTTAAAATAGATCGTCCATTGATTTTCATAATTAATCTTATGCAGGGAGGGATCGAGGAACAGGTAGACGAAGTCGTTACCTTTAAAATTTAAAATTATCATATATTAAATAATTTTCTATGTATTTTCTATTGAAATTTTGTTTTTGCCCCCTAAAATTTTATAACTTCAAGTTCGACCCCTTAAAAATTTATAGGTTCAATTTCACCCCAACTTAAAATCCTACGCCCCTCTCTGATCGTATGGGATGTTTCGAAGAAAATAGACAAATTAAGAAATTTCGTTGTCATGATAAGAAAAAAAACCATCAAATATATTTGTGATAGACGTTATCGTGATAGGTTCAAAGTTTACTAACGATAGTATACCTATTGTCAGATCTTATAAGTATGATTGAGTAAAACTGACTCGACTCAACTCGAAAAGATAACTTTTTTGAATTGATTCAACTCGAATTGAATTTGAGTTGTAATTTTATAAACTCGACTCGATTTAAAAAAAAATTAGTTCAAATTGAATTGTAAAATACAACTCGAATAACTCAAAATTTTTAGTAATTAGTGGATTTATTTTTAAGTTTGAGTCGAGTCTCTCGAATTTGTATGATATATGTATATCACATATGAAAAAAATGAATAAATATATATGTTTTGCATATGATTATAAAAAAATATTAATATTGGAATAAAAAATATTATAATATTATAAATATTTATTATTAAATTTAAACATAAACTCGAAAATTCGACTCAACTCGAAAAAAAATTTAAGTCAACTACGAGCTCAAATAATTTAACAAATGTTTCGACTTAAATTGTAGGGACACTCACTCCTACTTGTAGGGACATACTTATAAGCTACGGTGTTGATGCGATAATCACCTAGAAATAGATTATTGATGGTGAAGAGATTAAAATTCTTGAAGGTTATATGACCACAAAATATTTTCATTGATTTTTTTGATAGAGTTCATTAATATCTTAAATAAGTAATTTTTTTATTAATAGCTTAGATAACTAAATGAATTGTTTCATGACCTAACATGATAGTGTCAGTCGAAAATTCGTCCTTTTTTTTTGGATAATTTTATTACCCAAACATGATAGTGACAGAGTTCTATTACAAAACCAATCATCAATCACCAAACACAAAATCATATATACAACCTACTTATAAAAAATACCAGTTAAATTATACTCCATAAATTACAAATGTTAATATTAGCACTATCTAACCTATTAATGTTCCTTCCTCTAAGTTGAATACCTATAATCTTCTTTATAACTTTAAGAATATCATCAGCTGACCTGGAACAACCTTGAAATATTCTTTTATTTCGTTCCTCCCACAAGACATATATATGTGTGCACCAAGCAATCTTTAATATAGTAGCGAGAAGAGACTTGCCTTTCCAAGTTTTACTAGTCCAAACAAGCATGTCCTCCCAAGACCAAATGGTTTTCTTCAATCCATTTAGGAGCAAAATGGTATCCCATAAGGAAGATGCCAAGGGACATTCAAATAACAAATGGTCCCTTGTTTCCATTGCTTCATTACAATGAACACAATTTTCCACAGTATCAATCTCCATTCGTTGAAGCCGATCTCGAGTATGAAGTCTGTCCAAGAGAGTCATCCATGCAATCAAACTTTGTTTAGAAATATGTAAGGGACTTTGTTTAAGAAAATTCGTCTTTTGTAAATCATTAATCTCCATATCTATATTCGCCTCACGTTTTATGAGTTTGCAAATCAATTTTTTATATAGAGATAATTACATAGACAAGTGAGACATAATTTGAATTAGCCTAATCATTAGAAATAATCGAGTAACATCAACTTTATCCAATTACATTTGAAGGCGTCTTATATTTAAAGATTATAGGGTAAAGTACACAAACGGTCATCCGAATGTAGGATGATGCTTTATTGAGTCTCATGACTATTAAAGGTTATAAAAGGGTTCTTTGACTATAGTATGTTATTTTGTTGAGTCAATCGACTATTAAAAGTTACAAAACGGCCACTCAACTAATTCATATGTTCCAAACTCGCCCTTTTTCGGTAAAAAATGAGAAGTCTTCTGAGCTAGACGTTAACGTGTTGATTGTGATACGATAATCATTTGAGATTCTCATATCAGATTTTATAATATCTCAGTCAATATGTTAACGTCCAACTCAGGCTGCTATCAATTTTCAATAGAAAATGACGAGTTTGAACATATGAAATAGTCGGATGATTATTTAATAATTTTTAGTAGTAAATAGACTCAACAAAGTAATACTATATAGTTAAAATACCATTTTATGAATTTTAATAGTTAAAAGATTCAATAAAATAGTATCCTATAGCTTGGGGACCATTATTGTACTTTATCAAAGATTATACTGATCGAAGATACGTAAGAAATCATAGTTGAATACTGAAAATTAATGTGAATACTATCAACTTTGTGAAGTCAGTGTCCAGGTTCCATTCAAATCCTTGGGGTTGTGGAATCGAGTCTTACGGAGGGCATTTCATAATTCGGAGGTCTGGCATTGGGGACAGTATGCTATCTTACCTTCTCCTACCCCATTACATATGGGAATAATGGTCAGCTAATATATAATAGAGAGAAAAGAAAATATAATTTAGGTAACAATTGCGATAAAACAAAAACTATAAGGACCAATCTAATAATTGGGATAGTTCAGGGACAATTTGCTAATAAAGTCAAATAGAAGTAATCAAATGAGTGCGGATGAGAGGGAATCAGATGCCTTACTGTATTGGCCCCTTTTTATACACTTGTTATCCCCTTCGATATTTTCCATATTCAACATAACACGTCGAACACTCATAATTTTCCCCCTGGACTTTCCCTCTCCCCAAAAACCTCATTTCCGAGAAAAAGAGAAGCTCAGGTAGCAGGAAGGAAATGGCTGATCAGCTTACCGAAGACCAGATCTCTGAGTTCAAGGAGGCCTTCAGCCTCTTCGACAAGGATGGCGATGGTCCCATCTCTCATCTCTCTCTCTCTCGCTTTTATTTTCCTCTTGATGTTTTTCTTTTAATTATGCGTTAATTATTTTTCTTTGTTCGGTTCAGCTCTGTTTTGCGGATCCTACTGTCGTTTTTTTTAATGCTTGATTTCCCCCCCCAAATTTGCGATCGTTTTCTTTTTTGATTCGAATTGTGTGATGGATCTAGGATTACGACTTATGAATTCATGATCCTGATTGATCTTTGTCGGTTTCATTTCGGTTGCTTTGGCTCTTGATTTCTATCTCTGTAATTTTTTTTTCTGCTTTCAGTTCCGTTACTGTTGACTTTTATAGGTCATTTCATTGATTTTATTTATTTGACTTGCTACTGTTAGATCTTTTTTCGATGCAAAAGAGACTTGCCTATATCGCCATTTTTTTGGTATTAGATTATGCTTGTGATTTGATTTGTAATTTAGTCATGATTGAAGAGTGAATTTCTTTTGTGTAAATTTTAAATCTTATTAGCTAAGCTTCCATTGATCTTGTATGCAAGTCACATAGATTGAATCTCCAGAAAATTTTCTGATCTATAATCCCATACATGGAAATTTTTGTTTGGTACTTACTACTACATGAAGGTTATTGATCCAGAATATATTAGTTGATCCATGAGTTTGTTGAACTTCTTTTTCCCAATGTTTCCGCATCCTTGAGCTTTTATGAAACAATAAGTTCGATTGAATTCATTCGCGCATTGGAAAAATGTTCACAATCCGTATTCTGCTGCGTTTAGTTGGCTATCATTTATGTCTGATTTTCTTACCAAATTTAGTTAGTTGTCTTGATTGTTTCATAGTCGATATAGTAGTCTTATTTTTTTTGCTTTGCATATCTTTTTCGTTATCATTGTAGGTTGCATTACTACCAAGGAGCTGGGGACTGTGATGCGATCACTTGGACAGAACCCTACCGAGGCAGAACTCCAAGATATGATCAACGAAGTTGACGCTGATGGGAATGGGACCATTGATTTTCCTGAATTCCTTAACCTCATGGCAAGGAAAATGAAAGATACTGACTCAGAGGAGGAACTTAAAGAGGCTTTCAGGGTGTTTGACAAGGACCAGAATGGCTTCATATCAGCTGCTGAGCTCCGCCACGTTATGACAAATCTTGGTGAGAAGCTTACAGATGAGGAAGTCGATGAGATGATCCGCGAGGCCGATGTTGATGGTGACGGGCAGATCAACTACGAGGAGTTCGTCAAAGTCATGATGGCCAAGTAAGGATCTCTTCAACCATAACCAAGATCCAAAAATGGCAATATCAAAAAGAGAGAGAGAGAGGAAAAAACAGAGCAGATAAGTTTGCAAATATTTCAATTTCTCAATAGACAACTATGTTTTTTCGTGTCTCACGGTTGGTCGTCTGTTTATTGTTTGCATTATTTCATGGACCAGCTTGTTTGCTCTGTTTTTTGTTCCGAACTCCGGATTTTCTTTAGCAGTGTCATCTTCTTCTTTTTTCTTACCGATTGGCGTTTTCTTCCTATTTTTGGTGCCATGAAACTTCGAACAATTTGCAACAAGATTCCATGTTTTTGCTTATGGATGACCAATTTTTACCATATTTTAAATTTTCAGTAATATCATAGTTTTCAATAGTTTGTTTGATTTTCTTTTTCTAATGCGGCATTTCTCATTGTGTGCTATGGTTTTGTTTTGCCCGGTTTAAACTACAATCTCCATTGTTTGATCACTGATTTCATATGGTGCTGTCTCCTTATTCTTCACCTTCCTACCGTCGGTCTTGAACGAAGACGCTTCAGCGTGGACGATCGAATAACTTAAAAATTTAGGACAATTTTAAGAATATTTTAATAAATTTAAAAAGAAAGTTTTGGAGTTTTTTTTATAATTTTCAAAAGATGAATGCTCTATTATTTAATTACGGGGTGATAAAACCAAAGCAATGTCAAAGTTGAGTGGTCAAATTGATTTCTTTTTAAAGTGTAGTGACCATAACATAAATAGAATCAAAATTGAGTGATATAAATTGTAGTTAACCCTTAGAAGAGCATCTAAATTTAACTAAAAGAAAGAAAGCATCCTCCTTTTCTCTCTTGCTCTCTTTAGTTCCCCTTCTAATGTTGGCAAATGTTAGTGTGCAAATCGAATCGAAAAATGGAACAAAATCTTGGCCAACTATTATTATCCCAAAGTTGGTACATAATGCATATGTGCATTGCATTGAATAACAACGCATCTCCCATCACCACATTCATCCTTCGCTAGTATATTCTTCCAAATAACACTATCTTTCGTTTGGTCTAATCCTGCCCTCAATCCCTGCTTTAAAAATTTTGAAATCTAGTTCCACGGGAGTTATTCAAGGATCGAAATTGCAATTATTGTCAATCCAAAACTTGAATAAATCGTTTTCTACTCCGGTTATAGTTTATTTGACAGCTCCTTGACTTTTAATTCTACGAATTTAGTCCTTTTTTTCCTTGTATGCTTTTAAAGCTAAAGTTAAATCAATAACAACGTTAATTGAAATTTAATCCTTAAATCAATATTTTGAACATTAAAATGTCGGATATTCAGAATTTAACAAAACAAAAGTTATTTAATTTTTTAAATCAGACAAGTAGAGTGAAAGGATAAAAATGTAAAGAGTTTGAAGAGTACAAGGACTTCAGGCATAATTAAACCGTTTAATCTTATTACCTGGTTTTTATCTTACCTAATCTAACTACAATCGAGAACCCCTTTGGTTGTTTTGACAGGAAGAGAGAGGACAACGTCATATGTGCCCGGCAATAATCGTAGCCAAAAGCCGAAGAAAGAAACGAAATCAAAAGATGGGAAACGACGTCGTAAGCATGATTGCTTTTTCCTCTAGATCTATCTTTTATCATACATGTAATGTGTATTTCATAAAAAAAAAAAAAGGAATATGCTGTCTTATTTAGTGCAAGTACGTGTTTGCCAAATATGTGGTTTCATTAATGACAGTTACGCAATTATGTCATTAGTTTAAGTTTTAGTTAAAGACAATAATTATCTAAATACTGATTTTATCATGTTATAACCTAATTAGTGGGATATTAATAGTTTAAGGTTTTTTTTTCACTCTTTTATATTATATTTTTTCAAGTCGTTTTCTAACATCTTATATATATATTTATCAATGAATTTATATTGTTATTCTATTGTTCTACAAATTTATTTATTTTTTAAAAATCACATAATTTAAATAAGTTTAATAATTTTAGGGTTAAGGTTTTGTTGCATTGTTTATTTGAAATTTCTAAAACTAAGAAGTATTTATCTAAAAAAAAGGAAAATTAATCACGTTGAGGAAATCGAATAAAAGAAAACTGAAGTTTTTACTTGCTTTTTATTGATTTTTGAGAAAAATTAACTCAAAAATAAAAAACATAATATTTTACTGCAAAAGATGATTTGTGACATAAAAAAGGACAGAGAGATCAAGATTTCTTGAAGGGGGAAAACAACCACCACATCATTTCATGTTGATAAATTAGTGGTTTGATGATTAAGAGAACAATTCAGAAACATAAATGTCTTAATTTTAACTTCTTTGTTTTTTTTTATCTTTTTGGTGTGTATATATATACTTCTTTTAACATGAGTCGGCGTGGGATGTACTGATTTAATCACAATTCTAAAATCACACATCGTAAATAAAAATAAAAATAAAAATGAATTTTTTTTTATCAAGAATTAGTACAGACAAAAGAATTCAGAGTCCTATTTAAACACAATTAACAAGTTCAGGGACTACAAGCTGTTTTATTCCAATAATATTCCTAAATTTTTTTAAAAAATGTAAATTAAATAAATAGCCATAAGAGAAATTCGTTAATTTATTAGTTACAATTTACAAACCTACCTCACAAATGTAACGAACATATAAGGCAAAGGTATCTTTGGTTGTCTGTTCTATTTCCCCTCAATAGAACTTTACCAGTCTCTATCTGGTAAATTATATTCTCTTCATTTTTGTTTGTTTGTTTTTTTTACTTTACATCTACCCCTAATTTGATTGAGATTTTCGATTTTCTAAGTTAGCGGATTTGATTATTCAGTTGCGGACGAAATTAATTTGGTAGAAATTTGAATTTATTTTTATTTTGGTTGGAATCTGTGTTTGAATTTGTGAAGTCATATACATTTGGCTGCAGAATATAGGTGTTTTTCTCTCTTTACATTTTTTTAATAATTCCAGTTGATCCGGATGCTGATATTGTTGTTTGGTAAAAAATTAAATGGTTTGGAAGAGTAAGGTTAATCAACTAGGAGGATTTAATCCTTTATTTTGATTCTAGATTTTGATGTTTCCCAACGTGGTGTGGTAATTAGGTACAGCGAAATGATGAGGCTGCAAACCTATACCTGTCTCAGCTTAGTCGCGATGCTTGCTGTTATTTATCATGCATTCGACCGTAGAGGTCAGTTTTATCCTGCTATGGTGTATTTATCAACCTCTAAGATCAGCTTGCTGCTTGTTCTCAACATGGGCCTTGTCTTTACGTGCATCTTATGGCAAATAACCAAGCGGATATTCCTCGGGTCCCTTCGTGAAGCTGAGGTCGAGCGGTTGAACGAGCAGTCGTGGAGGGAGGTCATGGAGATCCTCTTTGCAATCACTATTTTTCGGCAGGACTTCTCCGTTTCGTTCCTCGGGACGGTTACCGCTCCGTTGTTAATCAAGGCTTTGCATTGGTTGGCACAGAAAAGGGTTGAGTACATCGAGACAACGCCTTCCGTTCCTATGTTTTCTCATGTTCGGATTGTTTCTTTTCTGGGTTTCCTCCTCCTTCTAGATTTTCTGTTTTTGTCCAGCTCTATCAAGGTTTTGATCCAAACTCGAGAAGCTTCAGTCTCCCTATTCTTTGCATTTGAGTAAGTTTTTAACCTGACACATTTTCTTCTGTTGTGATTAATGATTATCGATTGAAATGTTTCTAAATGCATTTCTAAGCATATTTTGGGGGACTATTATTCAAAACTTTTTTTGTATTTAAAATTTAAATTGTCCGGAGTATTTTAGGTTTAAAGTAATGGATTGAAAAGGATGAACATGATACATGTAGTCATAGTTCCTCATTTTTTTTACTAAGGTCCTGATGACTATGCATAGTGATCTTTTATTTTGGAGCATGATTAAGGATTGCAAAATTATTCTCTTTCTGGACTGCTAGACTAGAAAGAATCGAGAAAGAAACTCTTTAAATATGTCATATATGTTGAAATCCAAATAATTTTTGCTTCACAGTAGTTTGCATAATATGACTAGTTTTGATTCCTCCCCTTGTTTCTTTCCAAATGCTCTGTTCATCTCCATTTTTCACATGTATCATTGTTCTTTATCTGTTTCAGCTGCACTAGCGAGTGACGGATATGTATTTTCCCAGTTTATCTAATTTCACTCTGGACTAATGTTGAATTCTTTGGGTCCAGGTACAAGATATTGGCAACGACTATAGTGTCAACTTTTATAAAATATTGTTTCTACGTGAGTGACATGCTTATGGAAGGACAATGGGAGAAAAAGCCTGTCTATACCTTCTACTTGGAGCACATCCGGGATTTGCTTCACTTGTCTATGTATTTATGCTTCTTTCTTGTAATTTTTATGTAAGTAAACATTTTCCTTTTAGTTTCTGCACGATTTCATATATGTTTATTTTATTTATGTGCATAAATAATTTGTCTGTTGGACAATGTTTTAATGCATGAGATTCTCTGAAGCATTTTAGTTAGAATGCTACACTTTATGTTGGAGATTTTATCATGCTTCAGATCCCATTCAGTTGTCCTGATATCTATGTTTTAAAGTTGAAGGATGGCATTAGGCATGTGGTATATATATATATATATATATATCCTGTACATTGGTCAATGATATGGTTGTGAATATGTGTGTATAATGTAAATATGTCAACCTAAGTTCAAAGCTTGGTGTATAATGTAAATATGTGTGTGTGTGTGTTTGTATATATATATCCTATAGATTGATCAATGATGTGGTTGTGAATTTTTAATTTGTTTCTGCAGGAATTATGGTGTACCTCTGGACTTAATACGGGAGCTATATGAAACCTTTAGGAATTTTAAAATTTGTGTGGCTGACTACTTGCGTTATAGGAAGATCGCTTCAAATATGAATGATAGATTCCCAGATGCTACTCCTGAAGAGCTTGCTTCGTGAGTGAAATATTATTTGTTTATGAACTCAATTTTATATTTTTAGGAATCTTTTAATTGCATGTTAAATTCTGGATTCTTAATTGCTTACCGATCTGAT